CCCAGCTCGCGAAAGCTGCGCAAGGCAGCGGCTACCGGCCCAACGGCGCGCCCGGCTCCTGCGTGCGCTCGCGCAGCCTGCAGCACTGGGGCGACACTCACCGCCGCTTTGGGGTCCAGGGTTCAGGCGCCACGTGGGGCTGAGCACGCCGAACACGATCTCGGCGGCCGCCATGGGCCCATGTCCGCTTTGGGCGGCTGCTCTTGCACGGGGAACCGAGGAACGTCGGGCCTCCTGTTTCTGTGCGCGCCCAGCACCTGGTCCCTGCAGCGTATGGCAGATGACGTTGGGCCCTGGCCGTTGGGGCCTTCTCGATGGTGAGCAGAGGGGGGCGAAAAGGGCGGGAACGCGGAGAGAGGGGGGGGGGGGCCATCGCCGAGCTTTGCATAACTCGCAAGAGCAGTGCCTCCTCTAAAATGACCTCCCGCAATGCGGAGCTCCCCCTGCCCCGAGAGAACAGGCTCAAGGGATGGAGGAGGAGGAGGAGGAGGAGGAGGAGGAGGAGGAGGAGGAGGAGCAGGAGCAGGAGCAGGAGCAGGAGCAGGAGCAGGAGCAGGAGCAGGAGCAGGAGGAGCAGGAGGAGGAGGTGGAAGCAGGAGCAGGAGGAACATGAGCAGAATCACTAATGCCAATGGGGGCCATAGCAGGGAGAGTCGCCACCACCTGAGGATCGAGGGTCGAGGAAGGGACAGGATCTGGGATCGAACGGGTGTTTGGCAGTTGTCGGAAGTTCTGGGTCGTTTTGGGAAGGGGGGGGATGCAGTGTTCTCTCTCCTCCACAGAAGGTGCCGACCCCCTTGAGGAGAAGGAGGAGGAGTAGGAGGAGGAGGAGGAGGAAGAGCAGGAGGAGGAGGGCCAGTGCAAACCCAAGACGCATCAACGATGTTGCAGTGCAATATCCGTCCAAGTTTCCTTTTCAGGCCCCTACAAGAATTGGTCTTCAATGCGGGAAGCAGTCGATTACAAGCCAGCCGCCTGAAACACTTCACTCGTGTCCAAACACCATTCTTGAGAGTTCAACGCCGTGACTCAACGTGATTGCGGCGCATCGAGAATTCTAAGTCGTGGCAACATACCTTTTTTATCGGGACCTCAACCATACGAATCCTGGGAACAGTCCCAAACTTTCCAGGCGAATCTGGGCGGCGTCCAGGCGAGAGCCACATCTTGAAAACGACCTGCCCTCCATCCGTGGAGCTGCAGACGAATGTGCGCGGCGCTGAGGCGCGATCCGCATCTTGAGAACGGCCTGCCCTCCGGCCGTGAAGCTGCTGCAGACTTCGTGCGGAAGGGTCATCCGCGCGGAAGGAGTCTCGGGCGGAAGGCCTGGCCCGCCCTGCCGACACGCTGTGGGGGTGCGACAGGGAGGCAGGAGGGATGGAGGGGAGCAAGACGGAGCAGCAGGATCTTCGTGTGCATTGCTCTTGTCGGGGCGTCCTTGGGCGCTCTCGTCGCCACAGCCGGATTCGCCTCGAAGTGTTGGTCACAACGCGATCCCCCAAGAGATCGGCCGAGTTTGACCGGAGTTTGATAGAAAACCCACCTTGCCAAGTTGATTGGGAGGTTGCCTTGACTCCGTTTTCGAGAGTGTTGTGGCCGCCTTTCTTAAGGACATGCGCCCGCCAGGTCTCGGCCTGGGTCGTTTTCACTAGTAGGTGTTTTGTTACACAGGTTCTTGTCGACCTCTGGTTAGGGGCACAGGATCTCAATTTCCAGGCGTCGCGACGGAAACATTACGGCTGGTTTCTTCGGGAGGCCAGTTGGTTTGGCCCACGGCTCGGAACAACAAGCAAATAGTCTTGTGGTTGTCTACCGATTTGATTGGGTGAGATAGGCGTGGAAGCGGTCTGGCAGGAGGGGTCCAGAGTGCCCGTCCTCGCCGAAGCTGGCGGCTGGCAGCAGGGCAGTGCTGGCTCGTCTCCCCGCCTGGCTGAGCTCCTTGCGATGTTGGCGATCCTGGCATGCCGCTGTCGAGCCGAGGTAGGATCGAAACCAGGCGCCCTCCCTGTCCAGCGCACGAGCCCAATCAGCCCCGCCACGTAGCCACACAGCCAGCCCAACCCGCCTTCATGCCAACCCGCCTACTCCCGCCGCCTGCCCTCCGTCACCACGGACCTTTGGCGCACCACGGAACAGGGCGCGTGGAGTGGAGCGGGGAGCGGAGCGGGGGTGTTCGGGGCGCTCGCGAGCGACTGTGGGGCGCTCGGAGGCCGTGTGTCCAGATCCGTCCGCGAGTGGACGTGAGCGAAAGCCGGAACGGCTACCGCTGAGGAAGGAAGGGGGAGGTGCAGGAGATGAGGAGGAGGAGCAGGAGGAGTAGGAGGTGGAGGGAGGAGGAAGGACGAGGAGTAGGAGGAGGAGGAGGAGGAGGAGGAGGAGGAGGAGGAGGAGGAGGAGGGAGGATGAGAAGGTCAAGGAGAAGAATCAGGGGATCGGGAGCAGGAGCAGGGGCATGCAGAAGACTACGCTGACGAGAAGGAGGATGAGGATGGACATGCACTCTAAACACAAATCACATAGCAGAAGAAGACGCATGCGGGGTGAAAGACGCAGGGAGGAGGATTGGGGGGTGGACGCGAGAGGGAAACCAGCATGCATCACAGCATTCCAAATCGTTATTCTAGACGCCTTGCGAAACCCCACCAGCCCATCCAGAAACGATGCCTTGGCGAGCTGTCCTGATCAGAGATACGGAGGAGCATGCAGTGGAATCATGGGTTGGAGAAGCCGTCATACCCTAAGAAGGGGAGAGGATTGAGGATGAATCGAAGGATGAACGGGAGTGGGAGGAAGGGGACGGAGGAGGGGCGAGGAGGGACGAGGAGGAAGAGAAAGATGAGGATGAAGGAGGAGGAGGAGGAGGAGAAGGAGGGCGAGTAGAATGGCCAGTGGCCTCTTGGATGCCTCTCGGAGTCTCTTCGGATCTCGCATGCAAGCTTATGTGAGTCCTCTTGGAGCGTCTCGGGGGCCTCTTGGTAGTCCTTGGGGTCCTCTCAGCGCGTCTGGGGTGCCTCTTGTAGCCTCCTCGGGCCTCTTGGTGACCTTGTGGAGGCCTCTTGGGGCCTCCTGGGCGCCTCTTGGGGCCCTGTTGGGGCATGCTTGGGAGCCGCCTCGGGGGCCATCTTCGGGCCATCTCGGACGAGATCGGTCAACGAAGGAGGGGTAGTAAATCACAGCCCCCCCCAAGGAGGCCAACATGGGCCAGGCACCAGGGTGAAATCAATGACGTGTGCCTTCTCGTCGAGGCCACCTTGGTTGTGCGCGAAAAAACCCGTCCAGTTCCACGGGGATTGGGGTAGGGGGAGGGGTCAGGGCACCCTCCCAGCCCGCAAGCCGTCTCGCTCACGCCCACCCGCCCTCCCAGCACAGAAGTAGCACCCGAGCCGCCGCATGTTCAGAGGTCGTCTTTGGATGGACAGCTAATGCGAGCCAAAACAGATCCATGTGCGCAACGCTGGGGCGAGGTGCGCCACGCGTGCCAGGCGCGCCATGCTCGCCAGGTGCGCCAGGCACCCCAGTGGCCCAACAGGCACGCCGGGTGCGCCAGATGCGCCACGTGATCCACGTGCGCCGTGTGTGCCGCATGCTCCAGCCGCGCTAGGTGCGCCACGTCCGGGGCACGCGCAGAGTGTGCCAGGTGCGCCTGCGCACGCGGCAGTACACGTCGGGAAACGTGTCGGCCCGCATCACCTTGTCGAAAGCGATTGCGCAATCGCGGCGGGGTGGTCATCATGTTGTCGAGTGAGCTTGCACACAGCAAGCAATATGCCAGCACCACCGCCGTCCCAGTCAAAAGCCAATGCACATTGATCGCGGGGCGCCCGCGCATGATCCAGAGTTTGCCTCGAAGTGCATGTTGCATTGTTTTTGATAGGGATGTTGGCCGCACAGCAAGTAAGATTCGGTCACCCCCGCCGTCCCTGTCCAAAAACAATACAAAGTGCTCGCGCCCCCCCAATCACGACCCAAGATTTTGCCCCGAAGTGGACTTCACATTGTTTTTTGAAATGGATGGTGTGGGGGGTCCTCATTGGTCCTGTTTGGCTGCCAGCTGCGTTAGGAAGGGGGTGTTCGTAAACAGGGTACAGTGATAAACCCTCCCCTGAAGAGGTGGTTCAAAGAAGACACGCTCTAAACCACTCTCGCCCTGAAGGGCTGGTGGGACTTGATCAAATTGGTTTCTACCCCCGCGAGGGGCGTTACAGGGTACGCTGGCGGATGATGTGGGCGCAGATCTGTCGACGCTGAAGTTGCGCCAGAAGGCGCCCCGGTGTGTGGAACTTGTTTCCGCACGCTGCGCTCGCCACGCATTACCATTCATTCAGGAGGAGGGAGGGGGAGGAAGGGGGGGTGGAGGTGGAGGTGGAGGTGGAGGTGGAGGTGGAGGAGGCGGAGGAGGAGGAGGAGGAGGAGGAGGAGGAGGAGGAGGAGGGGAGGGAGGAGGAGGGGGAGGAGGAGGAGGGGGAGGAGGAGGAGGAGGAGGAGGAGGAGGAGGAGGAGGAGGAGGAGGAGGAGGAGGAGGAGGAGGAGGAGGAGGAGGAGGAGGAGGAGGGAGGAGGAGGAGGAGGAGGAGGACGAGGAGGAGGAGGTGGAGGAGGGAGGGCCCCTGCCCCCGTCTCCACGGCTGGACTCGCCTCGAAATCTCCGTCGACTCGCATCGAAATCCTTCGGCCTCAGACAGGTCGGGAGGTCGAGTTCGAGGGAGGTGGGGCCGGAGTGTCGTTGGAGTCTGCTCCTCCCTCTGAAGTTCTCTAAACGTTTTTGTCGGTTTCGAACGTTCTTCGATGCCGACGGATGTTTCTGGAGGTTTCGGGAGGACTCTGGAGGATGAAAAAGAGGGAGAGGAGGGGCCCTCGTCCACGCCTCGGAAGATGGAAGATCAGAGACACGCACGCCCCCACGCACTCCCTGAGGCAGCGGAGCTTCTCGATCTGCTCCCCTGCCTACATCCTGGAGTGGCCTCTCTCTGGGATCCGTGGCGGCCCCGCCGCCCGCGCCAGTCCTGGGAGTCGCGCGCGGCAGTCACCGGCACCGTGGACGTTTTCTCCACCGCCGTCCCGGCGAGGGGAGGGGGTGTCGGCCACGTGCAGAGGGGGGTAAGGGGGAGGGGGGAAAGCTTCTTAGAAGCACCCTTGCTTCTTAGAAGGCGCGGGCCTGGTCTGTAGATATGAGGCCCACGCCTTCTAAGAAGCAGCCTTCTTCTAAGAAGCATTTCCCCCTCCCCCTACCCCCTTGTGCGCGCCGCAAAAGGGGCCCCGATCACTGGATGCTAGGGTTTTCTGGTCGCGACTGGCGAGATCGGTCGCGACCGAGGTTGATTCCATTTCTGGTGTCAATCGCGACCAGTTTGCTTCCTAATCGGTCGCGGCCGACTTGGGAATCGGCCGCGATCGGTCCCGCACGATTGGGAGTGCCGATCGGTCGCTACCGAATCGCGACCGAAGAGACCTGGTGTCCAATGATCTTGGCGGGGGGCCGGCAGGGCGCGCGGTGAGGCGAAGGCGGTGGAGCACAGGTCAGGTGTTGCTAGAAGTGCCCCTGGCCCAAGGTGCCCACAGGATTTCCAAGGAGGCCCCCGCGGCCTCCAGAGCACCCCTCACGATGCCCAGAGGGCCCCAGGTGCTCCAAAATGGAGCGAAAAGCTGGGGGCACCTTGGGCCAGGGGCACCTTTAGCAACCCTCCACATGGGAAGCGCTTCTCCGCGTCCTGAGATCGGGGCGTTGCTATCTTTTCACACTTGACGTTTTTGCCGGGTTTCGGGCCCAAGGGCCCTCAAAGGTCGATCCAGCTCGAAAGGTGCCGCAAACAGATGGGGTCCAGGGCTTCGACCGCGATCCCTGGCCATGTCGCACTCTTGTTCGCAGCGGTGGATCTCAGGGCAGGTCGGCCCCGAGGAAAGGCAGGCACGCGGAGGCCGAGGGTGCCAAGGCCCCTGGCGCCACAGCGGGCATGAAGGAAGCATAAGAGCCCGTGCGGGGGATCTCGACCCGGCTGTGCGATCGGGAGCTCGCTGGCGCGGTCGGCCAGCGGCGAGAGTCGGATCGGGCAGCGGCGAGATTTCGCTCCGCAGTCTCCTTCTGCCCCTCCTCGCCCCCCCCCCTCCCTTCCCCTATCACCCCCATAGGTGCGAAGGTTTCCCAAACCCAAGCTTTTACCCACCGATCTGGCTCTTGGGCCGCCCTGGCAGCCAGCGACCGGGGAGGGACCCTCTTCCTCTTACGCCCCAGCACGCTGAAAGAAGCGGCCCAAGCCGGTCGGGGCATCCTGGGGAGTCCTGCGGACAGCCCAGAAGTTGGCCAGCCGCGCGCGCCACTGCGCAGTGTGCACATCCAAGCGGGGTTCGGTGCGCTGCGTTTCCATGGCTTGAGGTGCGTCTGATCACCACACCCAGGAGCCGAGGGCAAAACAGGCACGAGGACGGAGAGGCGCCAGCAGAGAGTAGGCCTGTATTTCTTGGCATCACTGCCGGCTGCCCTCACAGTCGCACTGATATGTCAAGAAGCCTTCTCCTCCTGCTGCTCCTCCTCCTTCTCCTCCTCTTCGTATTCACAAAGAGTCTTCTGCGCCTGACAAGAAGTTTACATATTTCTGCACCTGTGCATTCATGGAGCAGTAGCAGTAGCAGATGCCAACCACGCAGGTAGCAAGACATCCTACGAAGTTGAAGGACAGATGGCAATCAAGACGACGCACCGAGTGTACGGCTTAACGTCCTCTGGCAAGATCAAGTCCGACAGGATAAATGGTTGTGGGCATTGCTTGGTGCACTCGGCCAAGACAGCGAACATACATTCCCACAGAGCATCATATGCAGAATATCTCAGCCAGTACGGATGTTAAACTCATTGTTAACTGATTGCTGTGCGTTCTTTTGAGTTGGCCGGGCCGAACCAACCTACCTGAGAAGACCTAATTGCGGCAGACGTGGACGCCTGCTACCATATCCCCGATCGACCATGACAAACTTGCAGCACCTGTATGAACTGCGCACCAGTATGAAGGGAGTTCTTCAGGACAGACCGCAAAGGCTCATTGTTGTTTACGTGGAAAAAAGCTTATCCACAAGATACGTCATACATCTTGGTGCGACACCAAGGACATGTCCGCCAACAGTCTGAATAAGCATTGTTTTACCGACGAGATCTTCCAGAATTTTCTTGAAACCAGAGATCAGAAGCTCTCTCAGAGTATGCTGGTGACAATCAAGGCCAAGAGGAAGGATGATCACACAGAAAGCGATCTTGATCGAATGAATCCATCGACATATCTGATGTTGGATGATCATAGGGCTTGGACAAGAGAGCAGCAGGGAACTCTCTGGATGCGGTTTCTGCGTTTGTGATCGAATCGCCCCGTGTCGAACACTCCCTGTGTCGACATGATGTGCTGATACCCTTAGGCTTGCGCCATCCTGCTCGGCCACGCGAAACATTGCAGGTACCAGTGGCTGTCTGATAGTGCCCGCCTCCCGGCGCAATGCAGATAGAGATGGGAAGCAGTAGAGCAGGGATCGTTGTTTGCCCGCTGACATTTTTGGTTGCCCCCCCGCTCTACTCCTGCCCCCCCTCGTCTGGGCCATCCCTGTGAGGTGCCTGTCTGTTGTAGTGCGTTGGCTGTCATGTGGGTGATCCGACGCGTGACGCACCTCAAGGTCGCTGAGGTCGCTGAGGAGGGGGCCCTTTGGGGGAGCCTCTTGGGGCACTCTTGGGGTCTCCTCGGATCTTCCTGCGGGCCTCTTGGAGGCCTCTTGGGCATAGGGGTTTCCTTCGACCTCTTGGGAGGGCTTCTGGTGGCTCCTTAGGAGGCCCGCTGGCCGTCTGAGGGCGTCCCTGGCTCGTCCGACGCCGTCGGACGCCGTCTTGGGGGCCTCTGGGCCGACTTGGGCCCTGTTTTGGACGTTTCAGGGCCATCTTGGAGGCCATATGGGGCATCTTGGAAGTGTAAGGTGCCGTATTGGGGCCGTGTTGGGGGCCTCTTGGCCCATCTGGTGGCCAGTTCGGAGGCCTCTTGAGCTCCTTGGGGGTCATGTTGGTGGCCTCTGGGGCAGTCTTGGGCCTTCGGAAAGCCGAAAATGAGCAAACGCACCGAAAGGGAATCAATGATGTTGGCCTCTGTGGGGCTTCCTGGAGGTCCTCCTGGAGGCCTTTTGGACCGTCTTGGAGGCCTCTTGGGCGATCTTGAAGCTCTCTTGGGCCATCGGGATGACGGCCCGTCTTGAAGACAGATTGAGGCCATGTTGTGTTCTTTTGGACCGCCGTAGCCGTCTGGGGGACCATCTGGCCGTTTCGGAGGCCATCCTGGGGGCCATTTGGAGCGAGAGGACCGACGACTTGGGAAGTTTACGGGTCTTCGTGGAAGCGTTTTTTTGGTTAGGGTGGGGGGGTGAGGTCTTTACGCGTCTTTCCGCGTCCTTCCCGCGCGGCGGACCTAGTAGTTTTCGGCCCATCCACCGCCGTGCCTGGGTTGGAGGTCAGAGGCCTCTTGGACGCATGTAATCATATGTTGTTTGGGGGGGCCTTATCATAAGCCTGTTTGATTTGGTTTTTGGGTGTCTTGCGGGTCTCTCGGAGATTTCTTCGGGCCTGCTTCGGGCCTCTTGGGGGTGGGGGCCTCCTGGAGCTTGTGGGGGGCCTCTTGGGGGCCATCCGGCGGTCTCGGGGGCCACCTTGCATGGGGCGCGAGAGGCTCGAGATGTCCGTTCGTGCTCCCCTTCTGGCGCCTCTGCAGGGCCCCCCTCGGGGCGTTGGGCCGTCTTGGGGGCCTTTCGGGCCGCTTTGGGGTCACGTTGGGCCGTCAGGGGGCGCTCTCAGGGCCATTTGAGCCGTCTTGTGGCGATCTTGGATGCGTGTTGGGCTATCTTGGACCGTCGACAGCTATCGGGCCCTCGGGCTTCTGGAAAAAGTCACGCGAGAAAATCTGAGAGGGCGCTCGGAAACTCGGAAGGTGTGGGAGTTTGAGCTCCTTGCGCCGAACTTTCGGTATTGCATACAGGGCACACAGAATCCTGGAAGCCCTTGGTGGAATGTGTCACCAGATGAAACCAGTAAGAGCAAGCCAGAAACCAATGGCACCAGTTACAGCGACGATTTGCCGGGCACGAGGGTTTCGCGCGCGCCACGAATTCCGCCCACCGCGTCAGCTTCGCTTCACCCGACGCCCATCAGAGTCAGAGCTTCCCACTGGGCAAGCAGAGTGGTAAACCCACCGCACTCGGCCCACGTATACCACGTCTGGAGAGATTATAATGCCGCTCGAAGCCATAGATGCCACCCCCCGCGCGCGCCGATGTTGGCTACGGCGACGCAGGGAAGTTCCGATGGCAGCTTCGCGCAGTGCGGCCCATCGACTGCAAGGAGCCAGAATTGGTATCATAGCGGGCAGCAGGGTCACAACGAACGCATCCCCTACCACCAGGATTGGGGAGGGCAGCCAGATCACATAAGACGAACTTACTGCGACAGAGCAGCGCCTCTTCCAGTAGCGCTATCAGTGCGCTACGGTGCACATGTCTGGTGCGACAAGTCGGGTGACTTCGGCGTGGCCCAGGAGTTATGCCAGGACGCAGCGCAGGGCAGACTTCTTTCAATTTTGCGCGTGAGGGTCCAGTTGGAGAATGGCTGAGGGAGACGCACTGCGACAGCAAGCCCTTCGCCGCCACCTTTCCCATCGCGCACAACTTGCTCGACCTGCGCGGGCCACGCCCTCAAGGTGGACCTCGTCAGCCAAGGCACCGCCATGGCCGCAGCCGGCATTGTGGCCAACAGCAACAACATCCTAGACACGCGCCTGGCCGAAAACGGGTTCAGCCAAAACGCTGCCAAACACATTGCGCATGGACTATGCGCGCGAAGAAAGGACGTGACCCTCGGCATGCACGTTCAATGACAAATTCGACGGGCCACGAACAACGTCGGCGGCCACTTTCACTACGCCGGCAGCAGCGCCATCGAGGTCGACAAGATGTCTCAGAACATCAAGCGCTCGTGGAGCAGCGGAGGCAAGTTCTGACACCGTACGGCACCATTGCGCCATGGCGAATCAACCACATCGTTTTCGCCAGCCGCATCACTAGAGCCGCAGCCAGTGGCCTTCAGCCGTGCTTTTCTCAAGGACGTTGAGTGCCGCAGGCTGCACGTTGCAACTGTTACTGGCGTGTCCTTGCAAGGGAGGGTTACGACAAAAAAAGTAGGGCGACAACATCAAGACCCTCGGCAGCTCTCCATGTCTTCAAAGCGCGCCACCTCACCCATGGTTGCGGAGATGCGGACCAGGTGGGTCCGCGCGTTTCAGGCCCCCATCAAATGCCGCGTGGATTGCGACCAGTGGGTCACGGCACTCCTCGACAATCGGACATCAAGGAGAGCTCCATGAGGAGGGCGCCATCAAAGACAGTGCCAACGCATTGGCGCACCAGTACTACCGCGACGTACCCAGTCCTCGAGTTTGACAGCGCAACGCAATTGAGCATGCCATGGAATGGCAGCTTGGCTCAACTGTGCCGCGACGCCGGAGTTCCAGGAGCATTAATCAGCATCCGCCCCGAAGCTACACGCCAAGGCCAACGCAGTTGCGATGCCACTTTCTGGTTTCGAAGCAACACCACAAGCGGTACGAGTAGGAAATTCATGATGCCTTGTTCGCTGCGATTTAGGATTGACAGCAGAGCAAATCTGTTCCAGAGTTTACACGCCATGGGGAGCGCTATGTGCGCACCAGACTGAGACATAATGAGGAGAGCGGGATCGTCGGTTTGCTCCTGCCGCAGTTGCCATCACCAACCAATGCTGGGTGTGTCGCGCAATTCTGTCGGGCCGACCGCAGGCGGAGGACCGCCTGCTTGAGTTTACTCAACGGCAAGCGCGGGCTCGCCGACAATATTCTGGTCGATTGCCCGTTGCTACCAGTCTCCGAACTACGCTGTCATCAGTGTGTGGGTTTGAAAGCATCTCTACATCCAGCGACGCTGCAGGATCACTTCTGCACCGTGCGCCAGTCAGCTGGAGGACATCCCATCTCTTTTGACATCGGGCTCCTTCCTGGCGTCCTGACTCGTGCCCGACGGGAAAGCAATGGAGGAGGTCGCCAGCAGCATGGCGGCTTCCGAGCGCCGCCAGAGGAGCCGCAAGACCAACGGGGGGACAAAGGCGCGGTCAAGGGCGAGGGCGCGGGAAGGCGGGGCTCGGCCCGCCGTGGCCGCTGCCACGGGCGTAGCGTCGGGCGTCAAGCGCAAGCGCGGGAGCGAGACGGGTGCCGCCAAGCAGGACGCCAAGCTCGAGCAGCTACCCACCGTCTGCATCAGGCAGACACTGTCCAACACCCAGCGGTTGGCCATGCTCGTGGCAGCGGTCTGCAGCACCTACATGCCAGCCCAGCCGAACACCATCAAGAGGCTGCGTGTCTGCATGGAAATCGAAAAAGCGCAATCAGGCTATCAAGGGGTCGTTTTCTCGGGCCGCCGGAGCGACATTTCTACGCAACAGACATGTATACCGTATGCGCCGAGGACGCCGCAGCAAGACTAGGCCGACTCTCGCCGAGCATGGCAGGCACTTGGACACGCTCTCGGGTCAATTCACTCCCAACAAGGTCAGACACATCAAGGTCTCGCAGTGCTACGGCAGCAGCATGGCGAAGCTCACGCTGCACATGGGCCCCATGGACGAGCACGGAGGCGGATGAGAGAACGTCTTCGGGACGCCATGCACCGCGCTGTGAAGCACGTTGTGCCATTGTACACAAGGGATCTGCACCGCCAGGAGTTGCTGAGAACGAGTTGTCGCCTTGATTCGTTGGCTTCTGCGATCTGGACGAGAAGGCCGATCGTCTACGCCACGTTCGGTAACACGGCGCGCGCGGCGCCGCGCCCACGGCGAAGATGCCGCCCTGTGACGGCGACGGCGGAGGCAATTTCATATTCGTGTTGGCAGGCTGCGCCTTCGTGTGCCGCGTTTGTTCTTCCTCCATGTCCGCTTTCTCCTCCTCCTCCTTTTCCCCCTCCTCCTTTTCCTCCTCCTTCCTTCCGCCCTCTTCTGTTCCTCCTGCTCCCCCTCTTGCCGCTCTACTTCTGGCATTCGTTGGCATGCCAGGACTCTCGCGAGCCCACCTGGCTTCAGAAACCTGGCTGACAGACGGATGCAAGAGATGCCATCGTGAGGTTTCTGAGTCTTTGTGAGTTCTCCGCCTCCTCATAGATCATCCGTGCCGGGAATGAGTTTGCTCAAGTGCTTCGATTCTTGACGGCTCGCGTATTCTCACCAGCCCATCCCGACACAATGTCCAGGTGACTTGTCGGAACACGGGACATCGAGAAGGGCAGTGAAAAACTAGAACGCAAACAACGGTAAAATTATAAATCTTATGGGGTGGGGCTGGAATGTGTGCTTCGGAGCCATCTTGAAATTGGTTGGGCGGCATTTGGCGGTTTGGGGGGTCCTGTTTGGAATATTGCGGGTGTTTGTGGTAATTTGGGACCGCCTTGGGGCATTTCCCGGGCCGTTGAGAGAATTGCTAAAGGCCCAACCTGAACTATCTGGGGTGTTTGTGCGCGATGTTGAAGACGTTCTTTGGCTATCCGGCGCCCTCGTGGAGTCATCTAAGGTTGAAGTACGAAGCGTTATCTGAGCTAATTGACCCCATTGTTTGTTCCGTAGTTGCCTTCCTACAGTTCAGCAGTAATTCTCCCGCTAATTGAAGTCACGCATTTCTTAGGTCACCCGCGGCGTAATGTATCCAGTCCAGCTGGCGCGTCGTGTCCACCACACTTTTTTCCAGAGGCGTGGACCTAATGGGGGATACTGAGCACACTCGCGACCACGCCCCTGTGTACGTTGTCACCCACAAGTGAGACCACCTTGCCGTAACTTGTGCGGTCACGAGCAAGACCGCAGCAAGCTCCATATTCTTCGGCGAAGATGTTGGTGGCATCACGCCGGTGGTCTCACGGCGAAGACGCCGACGGCACCACCGGTGGCCATTTGTGGGATGAACGATCCCAGTGGCGGTCTCACAGTGGGGTCAGTTCGGGCCCCTATAGTGCCCCACAAGTGGCCTCATTGTGATTCCATGTGTGATCCTACAAGTGTCTCCCTTTTGGGACCACCTGTGGGACCCGGGCATCACCAGTGACCTCACGGTGGTCTCATTTGTGGGCCACGAGTGGATCCACAGGTAGATTGTTGACAGATTGCAAATTCCATCAGTGGCCCCACTGGGATCCCACCCCAGATTCCCCATCCGTCAAGGGATCCGACAGTAGCAAGTTTCGAGATTTCACAAGCGGTGTCATTGTACGGTCACTTGTGGCCTTGCCAGGGCCCCACCGTGGGACCACTTCAAGAAGTAAGTGTGGCACCCATTCTCCCCAAGAGATGTTGTTTGGGGGAGTTTTTTGGGGATTCCCCTTTGGCCACTTGGCATCACGTTTTGACGACAACCCAGAGTCTTGGGTCATTAGGGTCGAGCGCGCGATGAACGAATCACGATCACATTCCACTCGTGCAAAGTACTTCGAACTTTGTGAAAATGAGCATCGGCATCTCATTTAAGGGACAAATCTTGCTAAGTGTTTGTTCGTTTGATTCGGATTGGGGTTTGGAGCGCCATCAGGTTCTCTGGGGCATGCAGACCCGACTAGACATGGCACGTGAAAGGGGCAAGCAAGTTGGGGAGAGTCAGGGCCATGGGAAGGACATCTCCTGCATCGGAGCCATGCGCCAGTTCACCTTGCTCTTCGAGAACTTGGCTCTGTGTTTCGCGGAGCAGGTACACGCCGACACGAACGACATGGATTCCGTGTAGGTGGTGCGCATTCTTGGATGTTATTTGAGTACAACAGGCCAGTAGGTGTTCCAGCTTCACTCGGTGTGAAAGGGCACGCTCCTGCTCCTATTTCTATTCATCTAGTTGCCTTCGGCCCACGTGCCTGGGTTGTGGGTCAGAGCTCTCAGGGATGCTCCTTCGGGTCCCTTCGGGGCGCTCTCGGGGGCAACTTTGGAGCAGTTGTGGGGCCTATTGGGAGCCTTTCGGGGGCCTCTTGGGAGCCTGATAGGGTCCTCTTGGGAGCCTCTTGGGGCCTCTTCGGGGCCTCTTGGGGGCCTCTTGGGGCCTCCTGGGGGGGCCCTCGAGGCCGAGGGCTCGAAATGTCCTTTCGGGTTCCCCGCCTGGGCCCCCTCTTGGGGCCGTCTTTGGGGCCTCGGGCCGTCCTGGGCGTCTCTTGGGCCGTCTTGGGGCGCCTCTTTGGGGCCGTCTTGGAGCCTTCTTGGGGGCCTCTGGGGCTGTTTTGGGGTGGTCTTGTGGGCCTCGTGGGCCGTCTAGGAGCGTCGGAAAGCCGTCTAGGAGAATCAATGATTTTTGCCTCGAGGGGCCCTCTCGCGACGCTTCCTTGAAACACTCTTGGGACGTCTTCGGGGCCTCTTTGGCCCGTGTTGAAGCCATCTTGAGCGTGTGGGGCGGGGCACTCTTGGGTTTTCTCGGAGTTATCGTCGGCCCTATTGGGCGCTTTTGGGGCCTATGTTTGGCCAGCTGTGCTATCGGAGGACACGCGCGACGCGCTCGGGGAATCCCGGGGAATCCCCCGAAATCCTGGTGAAACCGGTGGCCCGGGCCCCTAAAATGTTTTGAATCCCTGCAGTTCTGAACTTTTTTAGGGGTGCTTGAGCCATGGGGCACTCCACTACGTGCAGCAATCACGGTGGTGGATATTTCAGATTGTTTTATTTCTACGCGTGCCTACTACCTCCTTCTACTCATACTCCCTACTCCTTCCGGGGCATCAACTGAACCGAGCGCGCAATATGAGTGGGTCGGTCGCGCAATGTCGCGTACAGCGCGCTGTTGCGTATTTGTCGTGAGCAAACCTAGGAGTACGCACCGCGATGCAACACGAGTGAATTGGACGCAGTGCGCTGTACACCCAGAATCCCAGTATATTAGCGTTAAGCGAAGGCGAGCTCCTAAACTTCACGAAGAAGTCTCGCTGGCGACCAAGGTTTAATCATAATTTGTTTCAGTCGGGGTTTGGCAAGCGATGTCCGTCATTCCGTACCCTTCTCGTTTGGAAAGCGGAAGCGCGAGAAGTGGAGCATGGCTTAGAAAGTAACATCTTACCAATGTTTTAAATCCCGCGCGCATTCCTGGGAGCTCCGTGGACACCTCGAGCCATCTTGGCGTTGTCGCCGAACTTCTCGGAGGCATGGTGTAGGCCATGTTGAACCAGCATGACCATTTTGTGTTGTCTAAGGCCATTTTGGAGCCACTTTGGGCCACAAGGAACCCTCTGACACCTCGCGCGGGGAGGGGGCAGAGGGAGCGGTGAGGGAGGTGGAGAGAGGGGTGAATCTTTCGGGGTGGGTGGGTAGAGGGTGGGGTGAACCCCGAGGAACGGGAGCACGCAGAACCTTTTTCCCATCGGTGGCTCAGCATGGACGCCACCCCGCGCGCCTCGGCCGTACCACCCTGCGCGGCGACAGCACGGCCTCGTCGCGCGGCGACAGCACGGCCTCGTCGCGCGGCACAGCACGTCAACCCAGGTCTTCCGTCACACAGTCATCGTTCAGCGCACTCTTGCGCTGACGAGGCACAGCAGCCTTACCACAGTGGTGCCACCCACCTGCCCTCCAGGCTCGGGGCAGGGCGGACCTCTCCTTAGGGAGCCGCTGGCCCCAGCGACAGCCCGCTGGGGCCGTCATCACCTTGCGGGGGGGGGCTCCCAGGAGGCGCCGCGGCCTCCACTTCTGTGGGGCCCGCACTCTGGCCGCTATGGGCGCCGCCTGTGCGTTGCTGCCCCTGTGCGCGCGCTCCCGCGCGCACACGGTCGACCTTCGTTCTCGCCTCCTGCTCCTCCTCCTCCTCCTCCTCCTCCTCCTCCTCCTCCTCCTCCTCCTCGTTGCCGCGGATGGTCACGCGATGCAGGCGGACTCAACGCGCTCTTGACGAGCTCGGCGCCGTCGTCGGCGACATGCATGCTCCTGGCCCGCCTCGCCGGAAAGGGAGGGAGCGCCTAGAAGCGCACGTTCGCCCTGGCTCATGCCCTTGTCCTCGCCCAGGCTCCAGGCTCTACCCCACGCTCACTCGTCGTCCAGCAGCGGCCCAGGGGGCGCCGCGGCGCCTTGCGTAGCGTGCCCAGCCGACCCACTGCCGTCGCCGCCAGGACGGCGACAGTTGTGCGGAGCAGACCCTCGGCCGCGCGAAGGAGCCGCGACGCCTCGCGCCATTGCACGCTGCTGGCCACCCTTCCCGCCGCGTGTGCCGCCAGGGCCGCGCTGCGCGTGGCCTCCAGGGGGAATTGCGTGGGCACCGGGCGCCAGCGGCACCAGCAGCACCGCGGACGGGGCAATCCATCGCAGGAGAGCTTGCGCTAAGGTCTGACACATGGGAGGAGGACACGACGGAGGAGGAGGAGGAGGTGGTGGTGGGACGCAGGCATGGCGAAGAGTTCGCGAGCTCTCGTCGTAGTGCCGCGCTCCCCGCCTAGGCTTCCCGCTCTGTAAGAGGAAGGCCGAGAGAGGCGGCGGGGGCGGCAGTGGTGGGTCCGGCCTCGAAAAAGGAGGCGAAGGAGATATTCCCTGTCCAGGGAGCTCGCCGCCTGTGGGCCGCGGCCCTCCTGGCCTGGCGCCTGAGCTGCGCCTCGGAGCGGTTGGCCGCTATGCGTGCCAGCTGCTCTGGGGTGAGGCGAGGCGGGGGGGGCGGCGGCGGCGGCAGCAGCGGCGGCGGGGGAGAGGAGGGGAGAGGGGGAAAAGGCCTCAACCAACTCTCTAACTCATCCGATCCAGGCTCATGCATGAGAAAATTCCTGCTGGGGCGGTCAGGAGCTGGAGTCGGAGCAGGGGTGGGAGCTGGAGTCGGAGCACATATGGGGCCCTTGGGAGTCTCACTGGGGTCGTCCTGGAACCTGTGCATCTCTGGATCAGCTCTCTGCATCTTGGTCGTTCTTCCTGCGAAATCTGGTGCTGTCTCAAAGTCCGCACCTATCTCTGGCAGGTAAAACTTGCGTAGGTCAGCGCACAGCGCGCTTTCATCCATGTGTTGATCGTCATTGTCAGCATCTGTGAAAATGTTGTGCATGGAGGCTGCAATGGCTGCTGCAAGGCGCGCACACATCTCCTCGGGATATGTCTTCTTAGCATGCGTCTTAAAGACTGTGCGTCCTCCAACAAGCTCCTTCCCCTGCAGTATTTTGTGCACTCCTTTCCCGTGGCGACACCAGCCATTGCCTGGTCCTTCGCACAGGCGTCTTCGCAAACATGGCATTCTCAGTCCGAGGAGACGCGTGGGAGCTCTTCCAAACTCCGCAGGGTCTCGATCTGTCGGCTGCAACGTGCATTGGTCAAAGTCGGCTGTGATCGTGATGGGGGCTGAGGCTAGGGCCTCTAGGGGCTCCCAGTGGAAGCTGCTGGGGGCTTCTGGCCTCCAGTGGGCCGGGAGAGGATGTTCAATCCACCCAGAGGTCCCCGCCACCATGTGGCAGCCCAAGAGGAACACCAGGTTCTGCAGTAGCGTATTGGCCGCGTGTAGTTGGAGGGCCTGTCGTTCAGAAATCCATGGGACGCCCCAGTACCACTCATGTGTACGTAGTGGGGGGGGACTCCCGTCCAGCCATCTGGCCGCGCTCCAGGTTTCACAGGGGGGCCCCCCCCCCTGTGTTCCACACCCGCCTAGCCAAGATATGTTCACCCCACTGTGTGATAGTATCCGTGCGCATGAGGTCCCCCATGTCTGTGTCAATGGCTATATCCACTGAAAGCATGATAATGTGGTAGGCTGTCGCAACATGCTCCTGCTCAATCCAGGCCTGAACGTCGCCTTCGCGTCGCCTGCCTGAAAAAAGGTTGAGCACAAAAATCTCCTTTCTGTGCACCCGTACGGGTATCCACTCAGCGGCTGGTCCACTGAAATCTTGCGGTCGATATCTGTAGTATCTGTCACTGAACGTAAGTCCTTCCTGCACTGCTGGCTGGGGGGGTCAGTGAAGAGAGCTGTGTATGCTGACAATGCAGTAGGTCCTATTTCGTATGCATGTGTACGTAGAAGTTCCTTGGCCTCACTCTCAGAGAAAAAGGCTGCTGCAAACATGGCTGCTGGGTAGAGCCCTTCCGTCGGATATTGTACATGTGCTGGGGATGCTGCTCTCCATCTGCCTAGTCCTGCACGCCGCTGCTTCGCATGCAAGTCAAGATCTGCTTGTCGCAGCTCCTCCGCCCTCTCTGGGGGGACCGTGGTTCCGTGCAAAATGTAGGCTAGCTGGCACAGCAGCGTCAAAGGCAAGGTGATCCCTGAGAAGACGCCGAGAGGAAAAGGCCATAGAACACGCCATGCATACTGTCCCTTCCCCCATGAACCTGGATACCACATGTACCTGGCTGTAGTGTACGCGCACGATGTGCTGTCGTGTGCTCTTTGCGGTCTTACCCACATAGTCACACCACATGCATCGGAGATCTGCCTGCACCTGTGGGGGGGGGGGATGAAGAGGGTGATTCACGTTCGTGATCGGTATTGGTACTCCTGCTGGGTGCACAAGTTGAAAGAAATCCTGCTGCGCCTTGTCGGCCAAGGCTGCTCTTGCCGCTGCATCTGCGTGCGCAGCGAGGGTGGCGCGCAATACCTTCTTCCAAGCTGGGAGTGACTGCAAAATTCGAACTTCCCATGCCTGGAAGTCCTCAGCTGGATCTGGCATATCACGAAGTCGGCAGTTGGTGGTTCGCACCCACTGTAAGTCCTGTAGTACTCTGTGTAGCCATGTATTTTTGTGTATGTGCGCCTTGCGATACGCATGCGCAAGTAGGCTGCGTAGTGTAGGT